CCGTCTATCCAACAGGAGCGAGACTTCTGCCCCACATCAGCGTGCGTCCAGACGGGTCAGTCAAACTGGACATCAACACATCCCAGTCGGAGCATGACGTCACCGGAGGCATACGGCTCAAGCTGCAGACGGCGGTGGACATCGTGCGGCAGACGTGCGGGAAATGTGCTGTGGTGGTGTGTAGAGTGGACTCCCCTGGTGTTTTTGACGTCTGCAGAAATGGAGATGTGGTCAAGGATTTGGAGCTGACGGTCGTTGCGATGGAAGATACGACGTTAACTTCATAAAGTTGTTGAGCTTTCTGTGAAAATTTGTTGCAAATATGGAGAAATGGTCACAGATCCCCCCCCCCCCCAGGGCAGTGGTGCTGACTGAAGTTGTCTTTAGGCCATTCTCAAAGGGGGAATATTAGCATATATTCTTTTGCACAATAGAATTGAAAATGGGCTGATTTATCAATGTCATGTTCAGTGTCGGAACAACATAGGGGGAACTGCTGCTTTTTCTTTCCTCATCCTTACTGTGGTCATTTTTCCTATACTTCTTTAGTATGTTTGTCACTCTCTTGTGAACTGCTATTTCCAGGGTGCCTTGATAGTCGAAGCAGACTTTTCACTGTTGAGGCTAGAGAGGTGAGCTGAGTAAACCTGATTTCCCGTTTGGACTTCTCTGTTGACATCCGCTTCTTGGCGCTCGTATGACCTTATGCAGTTGCGGGTGCCAAAAAGCCTTACAAAAACTAAAAGGTTGCTTATTTACTGCTGACGGTTGTTTCAGTAGAAGCTGGAACATACAGCATTTATTTCTTTTTGTAGAAAAAATTTCTATAAGAATTTGTTGGAATCAATATGTGAGGCAGCGTGGTGGAATCAGGCTCTCGTCAAGATAATCAATGTCAAGAAACTTGCATTTTTCCACAGGTCTGTGAATTTTTATCAAATTTTTGTTTTTTGGCTCAAAACCTTTCATGTCCATTAAAGAACTCATTTCTGTGTGGATTTTTCTGAAAAACGTTGATTAAAGGCACAAAAATGTAAATTTTCAGTTACCACGGACTCTTAAGCTAAGGAAATAACTGATCTTTGGCGGCTATTTTCTCACTAATTTTACCCCTGAAAACAG